GGGGTGGGGAGAGGCAGGGAGGAAGCAACTTACCCTCCCTCTTCTCCTGCCTCCTCCTGGCTGAATGAGGGCCAGAAGCGGGGCGGCCAGAAGCAGGGGGCAGAGCTTCGTCATGTGCCCCGCCCCCCGTACCTCACTCGGGGGAACTGCGATCCCCCGCAATCACCCCCGAAATGACCTCTGGACACACGACACAGGTCTGTAGAAAGCTGTCTGAAGCTGTTTGGCTTCAAGCGTATTTGTAAAGACGATTACATAGTCATTCACATGAGCTACCACATTCAGGAATTTTGTTATGCCAACTTCGCACTTCCCTTATCGTCCCGGGCTCTCTGCCAAGTGACTTCATCTGCTTAGGAAGTCACCAGATGCTAACTCGTGCAATCAGCACACACACATACTTGGGTTCCCAGTTTCCCGCCAGGAGAAGTGCTTTCTGGGTTTGCCACAGATAAGCACTGTTCCTTCACAAAGCAGCCATTTTTATCCAGGGCAAGTGATCTCTGTAGTCTGGAGATCCGTTGTAATTCCGGGAGATTCCCAGATCCCACCTGGAGGTTGGCAACCCTACTCGCTCCAGCTCTGTCGCCTGGAGAGGAACTGCAATTCTGGGAAACCCCCAGATCCTACCTGGAGGCTGGCAACCCAAATGTTGTGTTTGTTTTCAGTTATGTTTTTCCTTTGGCGAGTTCAGCTGCAAGGATTACTTTCTCAAGGAGGCGATTCTACCTTTTTTTTGGGGGGGGGGGGATGGAGAAACCCCTGGCAGTGCCACCAGGTGGACTATGGGACTACCCTGTGGCCATTGCCTTGGCAACCACACTTGCCTGGGATCTCTTTGCCTGGCAGGCTGCCAGAACTGCATTCAAGGGGCAAGAGGGGGTGGGAGAGGACGGGAGAGGGACTTTATAGGCTTGCCATTCTTGGCGCATTCCTGGAGATTTGGGCGGTGGGGCCTAGGGAGGAGGGAGTTCAAGGAAGGCCTGCGGCTCAGCGGAAGGCGGCCCCAGGTCCAGTCCTTGGTATCTCACAATACAAGAACTCGTGGGCACTCCATGAAATTGCTGAGCGGTCGGGTTAGAAC